CTCTCTCTCTCTCTCTCTCTCTCTCTAATAAATAAAAAATTAAAAAAAATTATTCAAAATTTAAAGGAAGCCCTTCTGGGATTCCCTTTGTTCTATTCCTGTGCTCCAGAGACATTATTAAGTAAAATGAGGGTCATCTGAACACAAGCACCAAGAGCTCATAACAGCCTGCAGAGATTATGTGACTAATGGGCAGGTGCTACATGCAAGCCTGGATATGCTAAACAATAGGATGGTTTATGTCCTAACTTGGTTAAGTATTGCAGTACTGAGAATGACATTTAATTCAGAATTTATGAATTTTTTCCTAATTTTATGACTTAATATATATAGACCATGGATAACTAGAAGACTTTAAGCTTTAAGCTTATTTAACTTTAACCTCAAAGCCATCTCCTTAAGATTCTTCTTGCATTTGGGTGTATGTTGACACATACATGAGGCATGCATGTCATTAAGCTTTTGTTCATTTGCTTTTGTTAATCTTTTGAAAAAGGTTATACTTTTTAAGAAAAAAAAAGTTGTTATTATAGGCAGCTAATTTAGATAGAAATTAATCTCTTGTCAGAGAAGGATTAGGCCCCCAAGGAAGTTAGCACATACACACACACAAAAAAAATACCAAGATGCAATGGCCAGGGCTACATGACTCCCTAAGGGATACTGTAGTTAGCATTACCTGGTCCAATAAACGCATACAGGTATCAGACACCCAGGCAGGTGACCATTACCTTCCTAAAAGTGTACCCTTCTACATATCCTTGCTACATGACTTCTGTTTCCCATGGATCAGTATTAGCTGAGCAGCTATACTTGCAAACCTACAGGCTGACCATAGTTTGACCCATGTCTTTACTTCATTGCACAGGGACTAGTGGCCACCCTATTTGAGATTCCTCCTGGAAATGCAGGAAGTCTTTTCTTCTTATTTCCAATAAAATTCTCCTAACTTTTCCTTTGGTTCAGGGCTCCATTCCTTGAGGGTGTCAAACCTCAAACTCAGCATCTTTGACATCTAATAGATCAAGAGTATATTTTTCCTATATCACTTTGGGGGTTCCATCAAGATAACTAGAAAAGTTCTCTTTTGCTCTGGTCACCCCAACTTCTTTAACTGGATTCTGGATTGCAACTCTTCAGGGATTCAAAATAGTGATCTGTCATTTGTTAGGTGCTGTGCCTTCTGTTGGTTGTATATGACTTTTTAAAACTCAGAATGATAGAAGGAGGGTACTTGGGTGGCTGAAAACAGGAAGACTATGAGTCAGATCTACGTAGTGAGACCCTGTAGACCCTGTACTAAACACATTGTTTTTTTAAAAAAAGAAGGTTTGAGCTGTGATGGCTTTTACTTGTATTTTTTACTTCTTTGCTGGTTAAAAGATGGCTTGGGTCCTTATTATGCATAGAAAATCATTTGTGGAATGATTTTCTCTCACAATTTGCACAGTGTAGCTGAGGATTCAGCCAAAGGCACAGGTTTTGCTTATGCAGCTCCTCAGAATGTTATCTGTATTCACTTTCTTTCTAAGTAAAAGCTCCTGAACCTTGGAAAACGAGTGCTCACTCTAAGGGCGCTGAAGCCAAGCATTCTTTCATAGACTACATAATCCAGGTAGGCACACATGAGGGTTTGGGGCAATCTGGTGCCTTGGTAAGAGTTTTTCATAAGACCAGCAAGGGCAACTCATCCTAAGACACAAGTAAAGGGAACTGATCTCTGGTGATACCACAGTGAGCTACTTTCAAAAGGCATGTCCCGAGTTCTGGGACCTGCACAGCATGCAGTACCAGGGAGCTAGCTAGGGTCCTTGCACTTGCCAGGCAGGCACTTAGACCACCAAATTATCTCCCCAGCTCTCCATAAGCATTGTGTTATTGTAAAAATGAGATACACTTGTATAGCTGGTTGTAAGTCTATTTCTGGCCATTAACACTGCTTCCTTAATTTAGAAGAGCTCTAACAATGAACTTAATTCCTGTTAGCATAACTACTTCCTAGAGTCTAAAAATTGACCTTGAAAGTAGAAACTAAATATAGACAAATATTTCTAAATAGCTGTGATACTAATTCATGATAACCTCATAGCTAGGACTTACTGGTTGGAAGTCTAAGGATGAAAGCCTTCACATGAACGTAAAACTCTTTCTGTCCCTTAGTAGCTGTGTGACTTTGTGCAAATTGATTAATATCTGAGAACCTCAGGTTCTTCACTTTTCACATGGAAAATAGGAGTAACTATTAATCATGGTTATGGGGAAAGAATATGATGAAGCGCTGTAATAGCATTAGGAAAGCCCACAGATTGTCTTATTTATTGAATATGAATTTTATGTTCTGGGCAACATGCCAAATGCTCTACCAGCATTATTTAATGCAGTTACCACAAGATATAGATTATGCACTGGTGTGCTTATCTAAACCGGAACTGTGGGTAACTATGAGGAGCAGTCATGCAAGAACAGTTCCACTGTGACTTGAGACCAGAAGGACTATAAAAAGAACACTGGAAAGAAGCAATGGTGAAACTATGTGTCCAGTGGTGATCTAATTTTTATAAAGGTTTTGATGGTTTGACTTTGACCAGAACGGCCAGTCCTGTTCTAAAAATAAAAACAATTATACAAAACTAATTTAATATAATTTCAATAGATACTTCTGTATTAGTGTAAACCATTATTTTTCATTACATATTTTTTATTTTTTAAAGAGAATGCAAAATTTAAAATACTAATTCATGATAACCTCATAGCTAGGACTTACTGGTTGGAAGTCTAAGGTAATAATTGGTATGTCATGACAAGAAGTACATATTTAGAAGACCAGAATGACAGGCATTCCAAGCGTGACCCTTCTATTACACATTGCTATCTTCAGTGCAGTTGCTTGGTTCACAGGTAATAGCATGTATAGTTAGGGTGAGAATCCTACCAATTAACTGCTAGTTTCAAAAACCTGCTGATGTTTCTCAGGATCATTGCCTTACCCATCTTGTGCATAGAAATGTATGGCTTTGCCCCTGCCCTGTTTCCCAGCTTTTCTCCTTGCCCTCTCCTCATTGTCCAGTCCTCAAGTTCTCACTTTCCTTTCAATTGTGTTGTACCTTTCTATTTGTATTTCTTCTTTTTAGTTCTTATACTAGGGAAACTATACAATATTTACACATGTGGGTCCTGTTTGTCCTGCTACAATGCTGAATATGGTTAGATTTCTAAATTTCCGTGTAAAAATATGTAAGTGTTTATTCCTATTTTTTAAATTATTTTTTCTTCATATTATGTAGGGACTTAAAGTTTAAGATATCAATACTTGATGGAAAATACCTGTTCCATGTTATGCCTAAGATGTTTGATATTTAGACAAATAGGGTAAACCAAACTGCATATGTTGTAGGGTAATAATAAGCTTCTCTTCTGGAGGGTTAGCAGCCTAAGTTTTCAGATCAAAAATTAGAGAAAAGGAAGAGCTGCAAGGACAGCCAACAATTTGGCCCTAACCTTTCAAGGTCAGTGAAGACTGAGGACATAGGAGAAACTATACTGTAACACCATGAAACTCAGTTGTGTCCCAAATTTTCTGATCAAGGAGGTTATGGAGCCACAGAGGAATATGATCGATGATGTAGAGTGTGCCCAAGGAGAGTCACATGGAGAGAAACATTCTCTCAGGCTTTCACAGAGAGCAAATTGATCAAGCAATGGCCATGACTCATCCACATGGCTGACACTGACAAAGGATCTACAAAGTGCAGTACAGGGTTACAGGATAAATCCTGAGGGTACTTGACCTACCTTATCAGATACAAAAGTTACATTTCTTGGTATATAGATCTTGCTTTATCTTGGTCTTAACCATCCAGCAGAAAAGTATAAAAATGAGGTACATAAAGTAAAACCGTATTAATATGCAGAGCTGTGAAAGGCTCAAGTCAACAACTTCTGCAGATAACCCACTACTATTGTGGACTGCTGGACTGTGTTGGATTGTTTTGCTGAATTCATGCCCCTGTAGTCTTTAGTTGCCAATGGAATACCCATGTCTGACAGGACTAAACAAAAAAAAAAGGGAAACAAAGGAAGGACCATTTTGTATTTGTATATATAGAATAGTTAGGATAGATATTCAGCTACTTCAACTTAATTCAATGAGAAGGAAGATTTGTACTAATAGTGTTTGGACAGGATATCCTGTCTGCTTCTTGTACTATGAATAACCAGTAAGAAGATAGCAATGTACAATGTATTAATTATTGAAATTGTCCTATTAATAAGTTTTGAAACCGTAAAAAAAAAAAAAGAAAAAGAAATTCCTCACCGAAGTACTTGTCCTATCTCAGCAGGCTACCTCACAACTAGTGGGTCTGTTTGCTCCCTAAACTTCATTGAGGTGAGAAAAATGGAAGAGGATAATACACTTGCCCTTCCTGAGTATATAGTACTACAGAAAGCTTTGGGGATGCTGACTTTAATAAATTGCCCATGAAATTTTCAAATTAAGCTGAATTCTCTTTTGTTAAAAACATTTTCTAGCAAAGAAACATGTACACATGAATTCAAAAAACTAACACCCTTAAGATAAACTTTCCTCCTAGGAGCAGACTGTCTGATCCCAATCTCTTCCACTTGTTCCCACTTTCAATTACCATATAGCAATCTCCACCCAGACCTGGTCTGGATATCCAGTCTTCACTCAACCTCATGAATCCTGTGAGGAACTGATGCTTCCTCCCTGGAGCTTTATGACTACAAGGAAACCTGTGCATCCCTTTTAAATAAACAACTTTACCTCTAGCAGATCTGTAATGGGACAAACTGCCTCCAGGCTTCTTTACCTTCTGTAACCTCAACTACAGAAATATTTCTAGTGCTGTTTATTTAAATCATATTTATGTTTAATGCTATGAGAATTGGAAAACCTACAGTTTACTACAGCCTTACTTTAAATTATATTTTAAGAGTGATATTATATTCAGTGAACTATATTTAGAGATTATTTTTAAATTGGCTTTTACCAAAATTATAAATGGAAGATGCTTGCAACAATAATCTGTTCTCTAGCCACACTAGCTGTTGAACATGAATGAAATGAAACCATTCAGTTATTAAGGTGGAGGATCACCAATGTGACAATTTTTTTAAAGGAGGCTTGGTTCCATCTCTTATATCAGTAATGATATCAAAGACAGTTTAAAAATGAGTAATGCAAGAAAATAAATGAAGAAACTAGAAATAATTGTCATCCCTAATTAAGCCATGTAAAAGTCAACATTTAGGTCAGAATCTTTCTGTTTTCTTAAACTGTCTATTGCTATAAGGACTTATGATATATTTTAGGTTAAACTCCTGGTATCTTCAGAGGCCTATTTTTGTTTAATGTTTTTCAGTTTTATTCTTTTTCTCCATAATCTTTATTACCTACAATGACCCAACTTATAAATCACAGGCTTCCAAAGAGAAGTTAAAATGCCTTCTAATAACTCCTAAAATCATCATTTCACTGAAAGTTTCCTCAGCATAAATGAAGTATTGCTAAGAATTTGTATGAGGTAGTTAGTTTTCTAACTATGGCAATTTAAGAAAATGATCTTTTAGAATTCAGTTTTTAAAAATAATACGAACAAAGCAAAATTTTTAGTTGGTTGTAAAGTTAGATTTCATATGCCTGGCTATTCTTTAGTTTTATAGATAGCTTGAATTTATTTTCCTCCTTTCCTCATTTTTTTATTAAAAATCTACAGCAAAACCAATACAGTTCTAGAAAACCCTAAAGAAAAAAAAACTTCTCACAGTATCAAAGAGATGATCTTCTGATCACATGTATTTGTATTTCAGGGGCTTCAAGAGAGGCCCTAACCCAGAAGGGACAGCACAGTAATCTGACCATCGTGGGGCAGGGTATCTGACCTCAGAAATAAGAAAGATCCACAACCTTCCATGGGAACCCCAGCTCATGGCAAGAAGGGTCTTACTCATGTTTCTCTTAATTCTACCACCACTAGCACTTATTTTTTTCCTTAAGAAAAGGTCAGTAATACATATTTCCTGACCAAAAAAAAATTGATACATGTATTTTTAAAACATCAGTTTAATCACCCAAAGATGTGGAAAACATGTCACATACATGTAAATTTATATGCATATACACAACATAACTGAGATTACAATATGTTTTAAAATAATCTGCGTACATATACTGACACTTTTTCTAGCTCATAAAATATGTTAACCATAAATTTTTAATGGTTCTACTATGATTTAACATATTTAAGCAAGTTCATTTAACCCTTTTAAATTTGTCATTATTTAAGCTCCTCAATATATTTCTCCCTTATGAATAATGCTATAAGCCTATCAGATAAGCATTTACATCATAGATCATTGTTTCCTTCCTATTTTCAGAAGGAAATATATTACCTAAAAACTATAGGAATTTTACAATTAACAAAAAAACTTGATTATTTACATTACATTTTTAAAACATATTGAGTATGTGAAGCATAATGGAAAAGTTTACCTTGTGCAAAAAGAACAGGATGAATTTTAAACCCTCCACCATTTTTCAACCGCTGAGGCAGTTGTTCAAAATGATAGCTGTCAATGTAGAAGTAAATTTTCAGAGCTTGTCGGGTCCCTTCTGCTTGATATGTGAGAGGCACATCTAAAATGACATTAAAGGTCGCATTACGCTCAGAAATATTATACATTGTATTAACAAATTATCCAAGGTAATCCTTTAGCCTTATAAAGGATCCTGAAAATTCCTAGAAAATGATAAGTTCAAAATGCTTATGTGTATCACATTCAGGTTAGACAAAATGCTATTCAGTATGAAAGAGCATTAAAACAGGTTCTCATTAACCAAAGCAACACATTTGTTACTGTTTTACACATAAAATTCTGTAATATGTAACGTTATACTTTTATATTTGGACACACCAGATACTGCACTTAACTAAATGAGGAATTCAAATATGCATGGCTTGTACTCAGAATCTCGTAAGGTAGCTGACTTGCTCATAATTTAGCCAAAATGATACCTTGAGGCACACTTCTTAAGTAGTGTGCAAGAAATTAAATATACAGTAACTATTAAGAAAATTAGCATGGGCTTTTTAATCTCTATTCTCTGTGCATAAATCAAAACTGAATCACCCTCTGTTGATGTCCTACAGCCATTAGAAATTATCTCTTGTAGCTATATTTAAAGATGCTACATTACATAAAAAAATCAAATATTTGCAAAGGCAAAATACTGTACTGTGGAAGTATTTCACAGTGATATCACAAATCTTTCTTTTATGATACATATTTATGACAGACATATCTACCTCTTTACAAAGAAATATAAAATTTTCCTGAAAAGTTAAGTCACCTAACTAGATAAAAATTAAGAACAAAATATAGTAGGTGTTTAATAAAACTCTTAATTTAATATTTATTACTTCTATATCTAGAAATAAACTTGTATAAAAGAATAGTCAAGGTCAAATATCATTTATGATAATACATTTTAGGTTGTAAATGCATAGATTACATGTATATGTTACATATACATTTATATTTGTATAGATATACATAAGTTAAATATATCTATGAAATTACATATAATAAAGGGGACATTCTGTTGACATTTACAAATCGTTTTGACATGAAATAATGATTTTTGCTACTGCATTTTAAAAATGGAGCACATGAAAAGATTAGTTTAGGAAAGAGGAAAAATAATTTTCTTAGTCAAGGGGTTACAAATTAATGACTTTTTAAAAAAATGTATTTTGTACAGGGTCTCACTACCCAGCTCAGACTCGTACTAATCCTCCTTTTTTCAGCCTCCTCAGCACTGGATTACAAGTGTGTGTCACCATACTTGGTCTCAGTGGCTGGCTCAGAGGGCCCAGTGACGGAACCAGTGCTACATGAGGTACTGGGGATCAAACCCTGGTCCGTGCACTTACCTAAGCAGGCACCTAGTCCGCTGAGCTATCTCAGCAGCCCAATTAATGGCATTTTAATGATTTGGCAAATAGGTTTTTTTTCCTTCTGTTTTCTAAACTGATAAATGTTCATGGCAACTGCAGAGATGACAGACTCATGCACACTAAGTATTTGTATCTTCTAGTTCTCCTTTCAGCCACTGCCACATATTTCTTTCTTTTTCTTTTTTCTTTTATTTTCTTTCTTTCTTTCTTTTTTTTTTTTTTTTTTTTTTTAGGGAAAGGTTTACAGGGTGTTCAGGGTCTCACTACTAAATCGGACTCATAGTGATCCTCCTGTTTACAGCCTTCCAAGAGCTGGTATTATAGGCATGCACCACTACGCCCAGTCTCACTTCCCGTCTCAGCGCTCCCTGGGGGCAGGACCGGCATGGCAGGCCGGAGGGATCAAACCTCAACTCCTGAACCTGCTTGCAGGTGCTTTAAACTACTGAACTATTTGGCCGGCCCTATTTCTTAACTTTTGTAAAATTATGTTACAGTTAAAATTTTAAATGACTCCAAAGGAAGGATGTGGAACTGTTAGGAGGTGGGCCTAAATGGAAGATGTGAGGTCACTGGGCACGCACCCTGGAGGAGGACATTGGAATCTGAGCCCTTCCCCTCTCTGCTTCTCAGCCACCCTCCATGAGGTTAGCAGCTTCCTCTGCCACACGATCCTTTCTCTGATGCTCTTCCTGACACAGGCCCCAACTCAACAGGCCCACTTCACCATGGAGGGAAACCTTTTAAACCGCGGGCCAACATAGTTTCTCCTTTTAAATCATTTACCTCAGGTATTTGCTGAAGTGAGGGAACGTAGACTAACACAATTTCCACACTGTTTACCATCAGTGTTCCTAATCTCTTTTTATAAGTGGATAACGTCATGGAAAGAAGCAATAACATAGGAGGTGGAGTCTCATAGGACTAACATAGAAGCAATGAAGCTATCACTGTAGGAACACAAAAGCTAAAACTTACTTAAAAATTAGCAAGTATATATTTTTTTATTTATTTATTTATTTATTTATTTATTTATTTATTTATTTTTGCAGTACCAGGGATTGAACTCAGGACCCTGCACTTGCCAGGCAGGCATTTATTCTACTGAGCTATCTCCATGGCCCAGTAAGTATATATTTTAAGGTGATGATAAACCTACAAGTACTATGTGATAGAATGCAAGCTACTTACTTCAAAGTACATGTTGATCTGTAAATAATAATAATTCTGATGAATAAAGGTAAAAACTTTCAAAAGCAATTCCAATCTAATAATATATTAAGAAATTAAATACTACAATCAAATGCATAGATTTCTCCCAAATATGCAAGCAAGATTGGCTCAACCTCTGAAAATCAATTACTGTAATCCTTCAAAATGAAGTCAAAACAAAAATTTTATCATCACATCAATAGATATGGAAAAACATTTGACAAACTCTAGCATTTACCGATGATTTAAAAAAAAAAGCTCTCAGTAAACAAGGCAAAAAAGACTTTCTCAGCTTGATAAAGAATATTTATAAAACCTCCAGCTAACATCATGTATAATGATAAGAAATTAGACTTCCTACTGAAATCAGAAATCCACAAGATGTCCCCTTTCACTACTCCTTTTCAATACTATACTGAAAACCTTAGTTCTTACAATAACAAAAACAGTACATTTAAATGACCACCCCTTAAAAATCAAATACTTGTGCATATCTTGAAAAACCTATACATTTCTGATAAAAACTCAAAATAAATGAAGAACTATCCTATATTCAATCTTGCCAAAATACCTCTTCTCTAAGATAAATCCTCTAGAGTGACACCAGAGAACTTTTCCCATACAACTCATCCTACAGAGTACTGGCTCTGTGCAAAAACATAAACAACATGCTGTGCCTGCAGCACCCTCCTATATTCACCACCACCCAGTTTATCAGCCAGTCCCAGGCCCTGTAATCAGAGACACAAAATTTTGTACCCCAACTCAGAAATGCCCCCCTCCCATACCTCAACTCCTCCATAAAACCTGCTATCACCCCTTGCTTGGGGCCAAGGGTCTTCACCCTTGACCTGGCTGCACCTTGTCTGCAATAAACCTTTGTACATTGCTTAGATTCTACTTGCCTCCGTGGCCTCAACTGTGCCTTGGTTTATCCTAACACCAATTACTATAATGAGCCACAAATAATGCTACAGAATTTTACATATATTATCTTACTCAACACTGAGTTTACAAATGAGATGGGGGCCAGGAATTGAACTCCGATTCCTTGAGGTCAATGGTCTCTTTGCACTTGTGACACATAAGGTGGACTGTTAGCGTAGGAGATGGCAAAGCACACTTCTGGGTGTGCCTAGGTAGGGCATGGAGGCGTGTACACGATCTCTTGTCTCTTTTTCTCTGTTGCTGCTCCCTGCTGGGCTGCCTGGCCGCCATGAGATGAGCATCTTTGCTCTACCACGCCTTGGGGCCATGACGTCTCCACCTTCAAACCAGGACTGAATCCCATAAAACCATGAAACAAAATAAATCTCCTTTAAGTTATGTATATCAGGGTCTAGGTCCAGCAACAAAATGCTGACTAATACTACAAACCTCCTGCTCCAGTGTACTCCTGTATTCATTAGCAAATCTAATTTCTTTGCTTCTACACATACAGAAAGATGAAACCACTAACAGTGAATAATGAGGCTCTAGTATTCTTATAGCACTTAAGACAAGATGACACTGAGTAACTGGGTAATTCTCTTCTTTTCTGAGTCATCTCAAAGTGAGAACTATATTCCTATCATTGCTGTTTTTAATTTTCTGGAATGTGTAGTTGCAAAGCTCTGAAATTGCTGCTTCATTATTTTCAGAAGCCAAGGTTATGCCTTGAAAAAATACTTAAAAATGCACTGCCAAATGTATATCGCAATGCTGTGTTTTTACAGGCATGGTTACATTTACATACTAACATTACTTTCATGGTCTCAGTTACCTTTATATTTAGTTTAGGTTCCACTATGCCAGAGTGAAATTTCTTACAGCAGATATACAAGAAGGAAACATTTTATAAAGCTTACTGTTGGTTCTTCTACTTGTTCCACAGATCATTTGTCAATAATCTTGCACTGGAACCATGGAAAAGAGACCTTCTTATAAGTCTATTTTTCCTCAGGCAAAACTTTAAAAACATATTGAATTTTATCACAAAATAGAGTTCTCTATGCATTCAAAAAAAACTGTGCCTACACTAGCCAAGTAAAGGAAAATACAGCCTCTTCTTCTGAAGGCATAGAAGATCACATAATTTGTTCAAGTATCATTATTAAATAATATCCCTGCCAGAAAAATAAAATTTCTCTTGAATATAGCCTGTATTTCTAACTTTGCACTTCATGTTCTTGTTCTCTTTCTTGTCTGCCGCAGGAAATGAAACTTTAAAAACATCTTATTCTCTTTACTTTTGTAAATTAATAGAAAAGGCATGGATTTTTTTAAAACCATCTTCACAGCTATCCTTAAGACCGTCAGTAGGATCTCTCACCCAAGTCATTCTGTTATTTTCTATCTGGTACCCAAGGCTCTGCTTTTGTCCCTAGAATGGTCTATTCAGCACAGCACACAGCTACAGCCTTGACTCTGCTGTTCATCTTCTCAGTGGCTTGGGAAGGAAGGCAAAGTGCATGCCACAGTCCTGCATGGTCTCACCTTGTCTTCTGTACTTGTTCTACCACAGCCACACAGGCTTGCTTGCTGCTTGAAAGGATATCATGTGTCTTACTACCTCAGACCTCAGTGTCCGTAGTATCCAGGCACCCCCTACCAAACCTGCATGAATCCCTCTCAGTTGCTTCGGTGTTCTAGGTTCCCTAGTGAGGTTTCATGCCCTGACCTGTTCTGTCCAACTTTTCAGTTGCCCCTTCAGTTTTATGGTTTAGTCTCTTTCATTCCAACTTTTTAATTTATTATATTCATCTGATGTACTATTTCCACTCCCCACTTGATGTAAGCTAGATGAGAAATTTCAGTCCATTGAGTTCTCTAACAACTAAAATAGTCTTGACAAGAGGTAAGCATTCAACAAATTTTTGGTGAACAAATTAAACAGTGATAATTTTCAGAGCACGGGTTGTATTATACAATACATACAGCACACTAGACATTGGGAAGATGAAAAGGCAAAAGGAAACTTCTATCTTCTTCCATAATCATAGGACTGTTACACTCATGCAAATAGGTAACATACAAAAATAACAGAAAACTGATCAAATTTTCCTCTACTGATAGAAATCATTTCAAAACTATTTGTGACACTGGTAAAATAGTAGCTGAATTACCTGAAGAATTACAAGATTTGACATTAAACCATATGCAGCACTACTTTTTTGAATATGAAACTTCTAAACTTGCCTATGTCAGATTTAGCAAAGGAAAACTGCCAAGTCAAAATGATACTTTCGGGCTGGCCAAATAACTCAGCGGATTAAAGTGCCTGCAAGCAGGCGCAGGGGTCGAGGGTTCGATCTCCAGGCCTGCCATTCTGGCCCCGCCCCCAGGGTGAACTGAGACAGCAATTGAGACTGGGCTTGGTGGCATGCACCTGTCATCCCAGCTCTTGGGAGGCTGTAAACAGGTGGATCACTACGAGTCCGATCTAGTAGTGAGACCCTGAACATCCGTAGACCCTTCCCTGAAATACAGAAGAAAAAAAATAACCCCTTTCATTAAAGAAGATACTTTCCAGTCTTTCAATTTGTAAGTAGGTATAAAATATTAAAATCAAGGTTATACCAAATTTTATAGTCTGAGAATTATATAAACATATAATTACTTACTTGCAACAAGTGGTTCCTTTTCTGATGGTTTAAAGAAAAAGGAGACCTTTTCCAAATCAAATAGTGCAATGAGTGTATCTTCTAACATGGCTTGTTCATCAGTCTACAAAGGAAGAAAAATAAAATATAGCATAATACGATATTATATTGTAGAATGTCAAAACATAATATGAATCCACACCAAAAATAACTTCACACCAAAAATGCTTTATGCATATATAAAACAACAGTATCAACAAATTCTGAAAAATTTCTTACTGAAAATAAAATTAATAAGGTCTAAAAAATTGCAAATTATTTTCATGATTTTGTATTTTTGCTTTTCCATATTATTTAGGTGTTCACATACACGATTTTGTCACAATTTGGCAAATGGATTATAAATATGTTGATTGCATTTAGAAATAAATCTTGCAAAGCTATGAACTTCTGAAATCTCATAAAACAGCTGAAAAGCAAAATTATTGTTTTATTTAAAAGCTACATTACATAGCAGCAATTCTATTATACAATAAGATAGTTTATTCACCATTCAATTTGCTATTTATTAGAACTGTGATAAAAAACAATTTCCATGTATGTATGTATGTGCTTGTCTTATGAAAAACTTGGTGGTAACAATCTTTTTTTGGGTGAGGGGATAGCTCAGTAGCATAAGCGTTAGCCTGGCAAGCACAAGGTCTTGAGTTCAACCCCTCGTTCCAAAATAAGAAAAAGAAAAAGAAAAGAAAAGAAAGAATCATTTTTATCTTACTTGTGTTTGTGAGGTCTTAGTCTAAAATCCTGTGAGTAGGAGATCCAGTTTATTTTAACCTTTTGTATTATTCTTAGCACATATTTTTCCAGATATGACAAATAAGGCTCCCAGGTGGGGCCAAATTAGTGTGCATCTCAGCAATGCCATCCTTCCCCTACAAGATTCTAGCCTTCCTATTAGCTGTTTAATGCATTTCTACACAATCTTTTATTAGTCCCATAAAGTATGACAAGGTTACCACACACAGTCTACCTATTATAGGTAGGGTTTATTCCATTTCTTTTAAACGAGCTTAACATGCTTCATATATGTAACAAGTTGCTCTAAGTTTGTATTTCAGTGTAGAATAAATAGAAGCTGAAGGAAGTGTGAAGAATTTTCATTGT